GTGTTTTCTCCGATCGTGATTCAGTGGTGTAAAATGCTTACAAAATTGCCCATTTATGATTTTAGTTTATTTTTAAAAACAATTTAAACTGCATTCACAGATTTTAATTAGAAAAATAAAAATTAATTTAAAATTTTAACAAAATATTAAAATCCGTAGAATTAAAAAGAATCTGTGAATGCAGTTGTTTATTGTAAATTGCTCTATTTTCAATATTTTGAGGTACTTCCCCTCGATGAAGCATCCCGTGGGACACCCTGTGTATTTTCACACTTCCAGGGCTCCTAAAATACAGCAATTTGTTTTTCGTTTACAGGGAGTTCATAGAAGAAAAATTTGATGAGCTCTTGCATGAACCGTCTGGAGAGTTCGATAATTTTTGTCGAATGACCTTTACTGAATTTTTGTCGAATGACCTTTACTGATTTTGAAATTTTGCTGAGTAAAATTTCACCGATAATTTCTAAGCAAGACACAGATTTCAGAGAAGCTATTCCAGCAAAATTTCGCCTTATCATGACTCTAAGATTTTTAGCATCTGGTGATAGCTACAGAAGTCTACACTATCTGTTTAAAGTCTCCAAAGCATCTATATCAGGAATTATACGGGAAGTCTCTAGAGCTCTTAATGAAGTTCTAAAAGATGAAGTAAAGGTAGTTATATTTTTAAGGTTTTTTATTGACAAAACAAATCACCACAAATTACTGAACTAAAATAAAGATATCAAAGACAAAAATCAGACACTGACAACAAAATTTTTGGAAACAAAAACAATGACAATTGATTATTAGGTTCATTCATAGTTCACTTGTTTCATTAGATCCAAATGTTTCAAATGAATTTCCTAATGCAATTTGTATAATGTTAGGTTTAGTCTGGATTGAGTCCGTATTTGTGGATTGTGTGTGTGCAGGTTGGATTGAGTACGTGTTTGCGGATTGAACATATGGAGATTGGACTGAATAAATGTCTGACTGGATTAAGTGTGTGTTTGCAGACTGAAAAGATGGGGGTTGGATTGAGTGTGCGTTTGCAGATTGAAAGGATGGGGTTTGCATTAAGAGGTCGTTTGCACATTGAATAGATGTGCGTTGATCTGAGAGTTCAACAGGTTGATTTGATGCATGAATGTTTGAAATTGGTTCGGAATATGAGCTTAAAGTACTTGAAGGTCGGCTTCGCTTCGCTTGTGATCTGCATGAAGTCGATACTGACGGTGGTCTAGAATATGGGTTTGAATATAGTGGAGATGGTGTTTCACGTCTAGGTAGCCTGCACTGAATTCTATTAACAAATATGCCATCTATTTCATACATTATTAATTTACGTTCGTCTTTGGACAGTTCTCGCAGTTTTGTAGCCAAAAGCTTGGCGTAGAGATCGCAGTCATCATCTTCTTTAATTGCAGTATGTGATTGACGTTGTCTTAAAACATTAGTCAATTGACCGAATGCTGTAGCCATTTGCTGCTCGGCTGTATTAGGTACTGAGCGACGACGGCTATTTTTTGCTTGAGTAGGCTGCATCTGTGAGGTTGGAGTCCTTGGCGATTGTAATGTTTCCATAACTTCGCTATCAGTTCTTTCGTTGTCGATAGCTTCATGTAGTTCCGGTGTTGTTTCATCTCCAAAAGGTTCCTTTGGTATTTGTGAATCATGTGATTCTGATGACGTTGATGGTGTCTGTAAAAAAGGTATTTTAATTAATTTAATGCTAATATATGCTATTATTATTTCAGATGCCCACAACAGCGGACGGTTGGTTAGATATCGAAAAAGGATTTAGAAGAAAATTTCCACACTGTATCGGATCAATAGACGGCAAGCATATCGTAATGGAAAACCCTTATCACAGTGGAACCGAGTTTTATAACTATAAGAAGACTTTTAGCATTGTTCTAATGGCACTAGTGGATAGCAATTATAAATTTATATTTGCCGACATAGGAAGCCAAGGAAGAATAAGTGATGGTGGTGTATTCAACAATTCATTGTTATGGAAAAAAATCTGTAGAAACGAATTAGATCTACCCACACCATGTCTTCTTCCCGGATCAAATATTGATGTGCCATATGTCTTCATAGGCGATGGTGCTTTTGCACTCAGTACACATGTAATGAAACCATACCCTGGCAATCATGATTCGGATTCACAAAAAAGGATATTTAATAAATGTCTGTCCAAATCCCGAGTTGTGGTGGAAAACACATTCGGAATCTTAAGTGCAGTATTTAGAATATTTCGACGACCAATTGATCTGGATCCAGATATTGTATCACAATTGACAATGACATGTGTACTGCTACACAACTTTCTCAGAAACAGTAAAAATTCCGCAGCAAGATATACTCCTCCAGGAACGTTTGATGAATACGATGATAACGGCAATCTGACAAGGCCTGGATCGTGGCGAACAAACGCAGGTGGATATAACGCTATAAGAGATTTGCCAATGATAGCACGAAGATCACCTCTGAACGCTAGAGAAATCAGGGACGAATTTTCTTCATATTTTTATAGGGCTATCCACTAACAATGTACCTACCTACATATTATGTTAAAATAGCTTTTTTGTTTTAACGCATGTAGAATAGAAAAAACTGAAAAATAAATGACACAGGCGGGACTCGAACCCATGACCTCCGGCGTACCGTGCCGCCAGGAAAAAAAAACTAACTATTTTTATCAAACTAATATGTACCTACTAAGTTACTAATACTAATAGTACCTTTATTTAAATATAAAGATTAAAACATACGAAACTAATTTATTTACCTCTTCTGTGTTGAGTGTAGCCCTACTAGTATAAGCAGGCAGCAGAAAGGACTCCATTATCTGGTATGCAAACCAAATGGGTTCATATATCTCGTCACTCCCTGAAAAATATGATTAATCACTAAAATGTTGTACCACATACGGGAATCAAACCTGGGACTTTCGGATTTGAAACCAAACCAATCGTGGCCTAAGCCTAGGTAAAATAAAAATAAATAATTAACTAATTAATTTTTATTTTTAGCTTTTGAAAAGGTGCAACTGTACGTAAAGTAAACATAAGTACCTACCTGCACCAGATCGCATAGATTCTTGTTTTTTCTTCAGATGGCGCCTAAATGTCCCCATTAGGGTCTCCTTTTTTGTTTTCAAATCCTTGATTGACACATTTAGTAATCTACCAATTTTCGTCCAAGCATCGTGAATTTTTTTCTTGTCCTTATGGAATTTATGTCCGGGGTTCCATAATACTTCTTCTTCCTGGTAATATTCCAGGAACGTCAAAATTTTCTCGTTTGACCATTCCGCCATGTTGTAATCTCCGATCGTAGCGACTTTCTTAGCAACGACTCGACGCGAAAGCGCGGGAGAGACTGACTGCCCGCGCGCGTGTAAACAGTCACCGGGCGCCCGCACATTCATCCTTTGAACTTTGTCAAAAAACCGACACTTGCCCGATTCGCGGCATTCACGTTCACAGGCGCGTTCACGGGCTCGGGCGTACCGTTTACACGCTCGTGAATGTGAATGTTGAATGTAGAGTTGAACGCGCGCGTGTGAACCTACCATCAAATGTCTGTATACCATAAATGAATTATATCTGTTGAGTGTTATATCGACAAAAAATAGGGCATTTGTTGTTGTATATTACGAAACGTTAGGATTAACGGGGCGTGTGCTCACTGGTTCGTTGGTTCCACGTGGAAAGTGATAGAGCTTTGAGAACGGGTGAATTCATAATTAAATGCCTTTTGTACGCGGATGATCAAGTACTACTTTCATCATCTGATAATGAATTGCAGGAGATGATGGATTTAACGTATTGATCGTCGAAAGAAAAGGAATGAAAGCGAAAAAACGAAAGTAATGGTTTCTGAAAGAAATGACAGTATCACAGATGCGTAATTGCAATTAATAGAAAAAAGGTGAACAGGTAAAAGAGTTCGAGACCCTGGAAATGTTTAGAAGGGATGGTTAATGTGAGAAGCTATTGAAAGAAGAGTAAAGAGGCCAAACACTGTGAACGGGGCCATAAATAGAATGATGTGCAGGCCGTCTGTAGGTATCTGAAAAGGCACGAATGGGGCACTATCGTTGGATATGAAACTGTTTTTTCGGTATATTGATTTTTTCAAACAAACTACAACGTTTCGGGCCCTTTACAGGTCCCATAGTCACGGCGAGACCAGTAAAGAGCCCGAATCTTTGGTTTGTTTGAAAAACAAATATACGCAATTTAGGTCTGAAAAAAATTGATTTATTTCTAATGAATAGCAATTGCAGAAATCTAAGAAATCGATATGATAAAGCTGTCATTGATAAACCTGTAATACTTTCAAATATCTTTATAGGTACAGTGGCCCTTCAAAGTATACAGCGCGCTATCTCTTTGTTTTAAAAATGAGCTTAATTTGCATAGCGTAAAATTTTCTGTTTGAAAATGATTAATTAATGCACGGAGTTGCCGCGCTTCGTGCCTCGTGAGCCGGGGACCCCCCTCGCGCGCCTACCCGCTCGTCTTGCGTCGCCCACGTGACACAAATCTCGCAATCGATATCTCTTATAATAACGCACACACTCAACATAGCCCCGCACTAGGGAAACCCTGTGTCGCGGGTGCCATGGACACACACATAGACAACCACAAATTACACCCAAACTCACGAGAGAAATAATTGTAGGCCATACAACTTTTTCTCTCGGCCCGGGAATCGAACCTGGGACATCTGCGTGGCAGTTCGGCACGGTAACCGTTCGGCCACGGAGGCAGTTAATATAATAATATAATATAGGTCGAAAGCTACCTGGAGAGCACAAAAAACCTTTCAGACCTAATGGAAAGAAAATACTGACAACGTTGGCGTGTCTCGAATGCACAATCCAACTCAAAGTGTCATTTTTGTCAAAACTGAACCACGCAACAGTTTTATCTCAACTTAACTTGTGTCTTAAATTTTCATACTATGTTTTTTGGACTTTATTACCTTATGACGATGCGGAGCCTTGCTGGTAACTGCAGTCTCTTCGGTGCGGGATCGCAAGTATTTTTATCGCATTATAGTTCTTGAATTTCGTCCATCCAGTTCAGGTGCCGACTTCTGAAAAGTAAAATGCTTCGTTTATATATTGCGTAGTATATGGAATAGTCGATTGCAGGCTTAGCTGTAGGTAGTGAATCAAACGGTTTAAATTTTCGGTGGATTTATTGTTTTGTGGCTCACGACGATGACGTTTCTGTTTAAAAATGATTAGGAGTTGCCGCGCTTCGTGGCTCGTGAGCCGGGGACCCCTCTTGCGCGCCTACCCGCTCATCTTGCGTCGCCCACGTGACACAAATCTCGCAATCGATATCTTTTATAACTAAATAAGTCCCATTTTTGTTTATTGTAAATAATAGACATTACATTGCATATGCTCATCACTGCATATATGTATCAAATGAATTATTTAAGTATTTTATAAATATAAGAGAACACACCATACTACATTATAGAAATATATACGTAATTTATTTTAGTTTAAACGCACACGTCCGGTACTCACTCGGTTTTAGGGTCCACTGAAAATCAGCGTCACAGCCTTGTCCCGGCGGTGACATTAGCTGAGTGGATCCTATTACATACGCCACAGCCGCACACATAACATCTACTTCGTACAGCAATAGTGTTCACCAGCTTTATGGTCGCATAATTATTTATTGCCAAGATTTAATTTTTAATTAATTTTATTTAGTTTTCTTTTTTGTTATTCATTTTCTGTTTCTTTTAGTTTAGTTTGTTTTAGTTTTAATTTAGTTCTGTTTTATTTTATTTTTTTTTTACTTTTAATTTTTTACTGTTTATTATTGTGTTGTGGTGTTATGTAATAAATGTATTCTATTCTATTCTATTCTATTCTAATTTGCAATAAAAATTTAGAAAACAGAACAAATTGTTGTTGTACACATAATTTGCCAAAAACTAGGTACCGACAATTTTACAAAGTCGACAGTTTCCGTGAGAAGGATCAAAATTATACTTAAAAAATAAATCAATAACTTCGTCCAAATATAATCAGCCTGTGCATTGATAATTGTTTTTCATTTAAATAGTTACGTGGCCAATGATAAGAAGAAGGTTTGAGAAGATAACATCGAAAAGGTTTTAATCGCACAGGTGTACAGTTGCTTGCTTTCCTGAAATATCTCGTACAAAAACATCTATGTATTTTAGATTTATCATATCAATATCCGCCTTCTGTACGCCGCCCACTTGAATAGTAAAGAATGTAATCTAAAGAAGACGAAGCGATCTTCACTCACCAAGTGTCCCCGTAGACCCGTATCTCTTCAAAGTTTATGCAAGAAGGAACTTTACAAATGGATTCGAAATTCACTATTTCTATTGTAACAATTCTTAAGTCGCTGCGGCGTTCGGGTTCGCATTAGCCTTTATCGATGTAACAGCAATTCATATAATACTCGTAATGTTGAGCGTTATCAGCAGTGATCGGAATAGATAGAGTGTTTTTACCTAAACTTCGAGGAACATAGACAGATAATGGAGACTGCCTTACGACAATATTTTTTAGGTCCTGGATCTTTTCGGCACTGGGGAAATCACTTAAGTACACTGAAAATTGACGTTATTGGGATAGGCAGGTAGACTATATATATCGTAACTGACGATTTGTTGCAACAGCAATTTTTCCCAATATTTATAAAAAAATCGACTTTCTGATTATGACATGATAATCGAGTTAGAAAGTTAAAACGTACTGGAACACGAAGAGTCGTTGCGATAGTTTTAGGATTCCGCATGAATGTCCATAAATCAACAGAATGTTTCAAATATGCAGTGTGGAGAAATCTGAACCATGTACAAGGAAGCTGTCTACGGAACTATTAAGTCTTTTTTGTGAAAAAAAAATTTGGCATAGTCAATTTTTTGGTCAAGCATTTAATAAAATGTTAGTCATTTTGTATGATTTTTTTTTTATTAAAATGGACCAACTTTTGCTGTCCCAATTTTTTTTCGTCCCATACAATGAAATGATCCCTTCATGAAACCACTTAGCGAGAGTCGACTGGCACTAAAAAAGTTTTGATCAATTTCATTTATTTTTATGGACAACTCACGCTTGACCAAAAAATTGACTATGCCTAAATTGTTTTCACAAACAAAGCCTAAGACAGCTTCCTTGTATCTTCTGTGGCTCCAGATTTCCCCACACTTAATCTTTTGTAAAATGTACACTTTTAGAAAAAACGATTGAAAAAAAAAAGAAAGACTTTTTTGTCGGAATTTTCCTAAATATTCCGAAAAAATGATGTTGTAATGACTTGTTGCAAAGTTAAGATAAATATAGTCTACCTACCTATCCCGAATAACGTCAATTTTAAAGTACTTAAGATATTTCCCCAATCCCGAAAAGACATAGGACCTAAAAAATATTGTCATAAGGCAGTCTCCACTTTCTGTCTCTGTTCCTCGAAACAACTCTACCTATTCCGATCACTGGTTATCAGAGTAGGATATTGATTATCACCATCTTATAATACACCGATTACACTGG